TACCAGGGATTGGGGTATTGCTGTGATAGGTTTGATCACGATTTTGTTTGGAGGAATGTGGGTCTTGGGACTTTGGATTAGGAAAGCAGTGGAATGCTTTAGGTGGAGCTTAATGGGCCATACTAGTAGGAGCATGGAAGACAATCATGCTGAGGGTGATTTGAATTGTGGGAGCCTAGCTCAAGACGTTTCAGAGGGAACTTCACTGTGTGGCCTAGAGACTGTTTTTGTGATATTTTAGTCAAGAATAGGGCTGCTTTTTGCCCTTATCTGGAAAGTCTGCCTGAGGCTAAACTGAAAAGTTGGACTAATTCTGCTGACAGAGGAAACCTCAAAACAGCCTAGTATAGACTCTGTTACATGGTTATTAGTGCCAACTCTTATGAAGATCTATAACGAAAAGGAGCAAGCTGGAATGAGAGGAGGTGCGTGCCCAAACATTATTTCAAATGTCATCAGCTTATCTCTGTAGGGGAGCATCTAATTCTGAAGCGAATGATAGGAAGCAAATCTATCTACTCCTTTGCCAGATTCTGCCTGGAACTTAGGCAAAGATTCTTTAATAGTGCTAGTTGCTATTTCTACTTGTCCTGAACTCTGTGGTCTATAGGCACAATGTAGTTTCCAGCATATTCCCAGAGCTTTAACTACTTATTGAAACACTTTGGCTGTGAAGGCCAGGCCATTATTGGACCCCAAAGAGGAAGGAATCTAAATTTGAGAATAATCGCCATAAGTAACTTTTTAGTGACTACTGCTATGGAATAACTGTTTTGCACACTGTGAAAATTTGTCACTCAGATTGGTTTAATAAAAAGCTGAATGGCTGGTAGCCAGGCAGAAGTTATAGGTAAGACAATCAAACTAAGGACACTGAGAAGAAGGAGGGCAGAGCCAGAGAGAGTTGCCAGGCAGACTCAGGGGAAGCAGGGTGTGTACAAAATGAGGTAACAAGCCATGAGCCATGTGGTAGAACTTAGATAAGAAATATGGGTTAGTTTAAGTTGTAAGAGCTAGTTAGTAATAAGCCTGAGCTATCAACTGAGCATTTGTAATTAACATTGAGTCTCTGAGTGGTTATTTGGGGCTATGGAGACACAGAGAAACTCCACCTACAGACTATATTGGGTGTTTCCGACCTGGTAGAAAAGGCTTCTCTTCTCCTCATCCTGAAAAGATATGTATGAAGTCTAGTAAATACCAGTGGGAAAACAAGATATAGAGATGATAGAATAAAGGGTAGATTATTGAATCTACTCTGAAAAGAAAAAAAGAGAGAATATAGATATAAGATAAAAAGGTAGATTATTGAATCCACTTTTAAAAGACAACTACTAATATTAAATATTTTACATTGGATTGGATTTTTGTATATTATATACAAATTATGTATATTGCTACAACTTTGAGACTGATTTATATACAGATGATAAGATAAAAATGTAGATTATTGAATCTACTTTTAGAAGGCTAGTACTAGTTTTAAATATTTTACATTGGATTGGATTTTTGTATATTGTATATAAATTATGTATATTGATAGAAATTTGAGATTGATTTTGTTAGAAAATACTGTACATATATTTCTAATCTTGTTCAAAATATTGTACCTATACAGTTCATTTAACAATGTAATGCAATTTGCTAATCCTTGAAAGTTATTATTACCAACTAATTAGGATATAAAGAAATGTCAGTTAGTAGTTAGTCATTACAATCAAACTTGTAGTCATATTAGGTATGTTTTCAAGATTAAGCAGAAATATATTTTAGATAGACAGGTTATTTTCAAACACTTCAGAGATCTGCAGAATATGGCATTGGAGATGTTTTAATAACATAGGTTTTTTTCTTTTTTTTTTATGACTATGAGACATGTCTGCTCCTGGCAGCACCAATATACTTGAGAAGATGATGGGTATTTATGGTGATATTTTATTTGTACTGAAATGTGATTTTAATTGTATGTTAATAAATAAAGTTGCCTGGGGGTCAGAGCTAATAGCAAGCCAGAGCAGAGCTGGGCGTTCGTGGCACACGCCTTTAATCCCAGCACTTGGTAGAAGAGCTAGGTAGATCTCTGTGTGGTCAAGGATACAGCCAGCATTGGAGACATACGCCTTAAATCTCAATACCATAGAAGACCTGGAGGGCTGTACAAACAGGCAGTGATGAGGCAGTCATGTGTTTGGGTTTACAACCAATGAGAAGGCAGGACAGAAAAACTATGTAAAGACAAACACACAGGAAGTAGCTCTCTTTCAGAGAGGTCTCTTGGCTTAAGAGGCTAGCTGCAGCAGGCGGGTAAGGCTCTTAGATCTGATCTCTTGGCTTTCTTCTTTGCATTGGTTCTGTGTTTCTTATTTAATAAGACGGTTGGTTATATCTACAGGTATTGAAGAAACTCCATATGGAGCTTACTTTCATTGTGGCAAAAGTTAGCCACTGGGCAAGAAACTGCCCTCAAATTGACTGCTGACAGTATGCTGTCCAAAATATACAAGCAGGACACAAAAGAAAGGATTGCCAATCCTTGCCAAGACAAGGTAGGAAGGCTCTTTAGAAAATCTTGCTTCACAGATGAGTCTGTCAGATATACTAGGCCTATAGGCTGAAGATGGATTCCCCAATGTTGCAGAGAAACCTCAGGTGACTGTCCAGGCAGCCAGCTGTTTCTGTCATTTCTCACATTTTTTTGAAGTCACTTGTTTGCAATTCCTGTTTAACTAGGTAATATTATTTCCTTCTTGGGTCTCTGAGGGAGTTGAAGATTAGATAGTTATAGTTTTCCTTGTTAACAAAATTAGAAAAGAAACTCACTAAAGAGATGTAAAGTGTGTAAGTCTGAAAGACATCAAAAGATAGTTTTGGTAATCCAAATTAGGATAGAAGGTAAATAAGACACAATCCTTTGGATTCACAAAGATAGGATAGATAATGGAATATTTTCTCTGAATTTGTCAAATGCAAATGGACTAGACATTGTTGATGTATTTATTGCCTGTATAAATTGTATATAGTTACTGTACTTGTTGTATATAGTTTTTCTTATATTAGTTATAACTTTTTTATTTTAGACAAAAAAGGGGAAATGTGGTAATATTTTATTTGTGTACCCCAATAAAACTTATCTGGGGATCAGAGAACAGAGCCAGCCACCAAATTAGACATAGAGGTCAGGCGTGGTGGCACACACCTTTAATCCCAGCACTTGAGATATCATGTCTTGCTTGGGAAGAACACGCTTCTTTAATCCCAGGAAGTGATGGCAGGAAGCAGAAAGATATATAAGACGTGAGGACCAGGAACTAGAGGCTTTTGAGCAGTTCAGCTGAGATCCATTCAGGTGAGGATTCACAGGCTTTCAGTCTGAGGAAACAAGATCAGCTGAGGAGTTGGTGAGGTGAGGTTGGCTGTGGCTTGTTCTGTTTCTCTAGTCTTTCAGCATTCACCCCAATACCTGGCTCTGGGTTTTATTTATTTATTTAGTTAGTTTTTTTTCAAGACGGGTCTGTGTAGTTTTGGTGCCTGTCCTGGATCTTCCTCTGTAGACTAGGCTGGCCTCGAACTCACAGAGATCTGCCTGGCTCTGCCTCCCCAGTGCTGGGATGAAAGGCATGTGCCACCACTGCCCGGTGGTTTTTGTTTTTGTTTTTTTTTTTTTTTTAATTAATAAGACCATTTGGCAATTCATGTTACATACCAGTAGCCAAACCTCGTTGGAGGAACTTCAGTAAAATCCAAATCCCAGTGTTCCCCAGTACTGTGCCCCCTTTCTCAAGTCCCCATAGGATCTGGTTTTCCCCCTTTGGCATTTACTTGGGTGCAGGCAGCACAGTGGTTGGTGATTTGTTTAACCCTTTCACCCATGTGGCGTAGGAAGTGTCTGGCCCCGATCAGTTTAATTTGGTTCATCCTAGGTGGGTTCTCTGATGAATTTGTGAGAGAGGGGGCGGCCCCAGGACCTCCAGGAGGATAGGGTGTCGGTCTGGAAGAACTCACCAGCCCTCCATCTTAGTAAATCCCTGCTGTCTGGCCCAATTTTCTTCCTCATTGGTGTGTGTGGGGCATTCTAATGGGTCTGGCACAGGCAGGAGGGCGAGATCCGAGATGGAGCCTAACGTTTGTAGTGGCCGCACTGGCTCAGTGGTGCCCTTCTTGCCATGGCATCAGTGAATCTATTGCCTTGGGCTTCAGTCAAGTCCCTTTCTGGTGCCCTGGGCAATGGATGATGGCAAGTCTTTCTGACAACCAGACAGTTGCTAGGAGAGCTGAGATCTCTTATTTTTAATCTCTTTTCCCTCTGGGGTCAGAAGGTTTTTCCTATTCCTGCAAGGCACTGTGAATGTGTACAGTAGCAAAGGCCTACAAACTGTCAGTATAGATGTTGACAGACCAACCATTTCTCCATCTTAGTGCCTGAGTCAAGGGTACCAGTTCTGCCTTTGGGGCTGCTGTCTCCTGAGGCAGAGATTGAGCCACAGGCTATTACCTCTGTGAGTGTCACTACAGCCACCCCTGCATAACTAATCCCATAGTGCACGTAATGACTCCCATCAGTGAATAACACTGGTTCTGCCTTTCCAAGGGGCAGGTCTCAAAGATCTGGTTGTCCATACTGTAGGTGGTCCATGACCTGGATGCAGTTGTGATCTGGCTGTTATTCTTACTCAGGCAGGAAGGATGCTGGGTTTAATACTGAAGGGCTCTCTAGCAGGCCCAAGCATTGCAGACAGATTTCGTCCACTGCCCTTCCCCCACCTCCCTTCCTAACCATTAGATACGTTCCTAAAGTTAGCCCCCAGGTCTATTCCCATACTGGGTCACTGACATTCCTGAGAGTGAACACCAAATTCCAGCAATCGAAATTCATTATTTGGCTACACTGGCTGTTAAGTCCAATGAGGACTTACCAACTCACCCTAGCACAGTGTTCTCCTTAAAAACCCATTCCTGCAAAACATACCTGCTAATGTTGTACCCGTGTCTTGAATCCCCCAAGAGACCACCAAGGAGCCAGTTTCTGGTGCAAACACACAAGGTGTAAGGAGTCTGTCCTTGATTACGTCATCAGCCTGCGATGGCATCCCAGCCTAAAAAGCAAGTGGGCCCTCTGTGTGTCTCTCTTTCCTTTCCGCTCCTTCCTTCTGTCTGTCCTTTCTCCCCCTCTCCCTCTTTCTTCCTCTCTCCCAATAAAGCTCTAAAAAGGTAACCATGGCTGTGATTCTTCCAATCAGCACTCTCCCCCGCCGGCATGGCCGCCATGGACGGCAGCCGCAGCCAGCCACAAGCAGCACCGTTTTAACCAACACAAGGGTCTTTTTATTTTCAGGTTCGAACCCGGGCTCCCATCTATGCCCCGATGCAGTGGATGGAGGGAAATGTGGCAGCGGCCAGGGGCTCAGGGGTAGGAGGGTTTTTAAAGGAAAAAACAAACAAACAAACAAAAAACCACAAGCTAGGAATTACGTGCCTTGGCATTTTGAGGTTGGATACAAGGGATATGGGGCAAGGTGATTTTTTGAAACTATTGATCTAGACTTTCGGTGTGAAACCACATATGAAACTATTGGGTTAGACTTTGGGCAGGGAACCACAACCTGCTGACAGGATTATCTGGATATCTGCAAGGCCCTTAAGTCACAGACAGAATGTCTACAGGAGCATCTGGATCTTGCTAAACTTTATTGCCCTATTTCTTAAATTGGCTGCTTCTAGGGTATCTTCAAGTTGTCAAGGCACATTCCTGAGATTCTTCCTGGAACTAGCTCCTGGTCACCAGGTGATTTAAGATGGTGGCCCAAGACGGTGGCCCTTCCCTGAAATGGAGTCTGTAAAGTCAAGTCTAGGCCTTGTGTGGTGGCCCCAAACAGCTTGACCACTCAGCTGCCATGACAGGCTTAGACACAGCTTCTGTGACAGGCTTACTGGCAGGCAACACCCAGACCCAGGAAAACCATAAGCTGACCCCACCTAGGGAAGGCCTACCAGGAGGGCCTTCCCTAAGTGGAAGTACCTGACATCCCAAACATTCCAACCATCAGATAAGGTTAGATAAGATGGCCAGATGTCCCTGAGTCTAGCACACACCTATTTCTGTTTTACAGATATCCCTAGACAAATGTCAGCCAACCAGGGTCCTGAAACCTGGAAATCCCCTCACCCCAACTTCTGTTATGATAAAAACTCTGCCCTACCTGAGCTCAGGGCTCTCTGCTCTCACTGCTGTGTGGACAGACAGAGAGACCAAGCTCCGAGCTTGCAAATAAAGGCTCTTTGCTTTTACATATGGGATTTGGTCTCCGCGGTGGTCTTTTGGGGGTCCCTGCAATCTGGGCATAACACTTTCTGTTCACCTTTGCCCAATACAGAGGCAGCTTCTCCTCCCCGTTCTTGCCCCTCTGGGGTACTAAATCTTTATACTGATAATTTGGTTTCTGAATGTATCATGTACCGACTCTGAGCCCCCAACCCCACCCCATCCCCCACCTCCACCCAAACCCTTACACATATTGCAGAAGGCAAAAACCTGAGCCTGGGGACATCTAAAAGGAAATCCGGTAGTGTGAGAGCCGTGCATCCATCCAGCACACAGAGGCTCCCCAAAGGGGCATTTCAATGGAGTGTGGTGGGGGTAGCAGCAGCCAACTCCTGTCCCATATTCATTTTATCAGTTTCCTTTAGCAACAGTGTTAGAATTCCTAGCCACTCCCCCAGCTACATGACTACGTATGTGCTATCCAGTAGCCAGGCAAGATGCTTGGTCATCCCAAGGCCTTACGTCCTACCTAATCCTACGTGATTACATAATTTGCGTGCAGTGTGATCATGCAATCTGTGCACATGCATGGTGTAGCTACGTAAGCCCATATGCACATGTGCAGGGGGACCTGTGAAAGTGGGTTCCACCTATTCCCCCTCCTCTCTTCCTGCACCGTCATTCCATAGTCCCTGGAATGCACATCCCTTCTGTTCCCTTCCCTTAATAAACTCTTTTTTTTAATTAATTTATTTATTATGTATACAGTGTTCTGTTTGCATGTATCCTTGCAGGCCAGAAGAGGGAGCCAGACTTCATTACAGATGGTTGTGAGCCACCATGTGGGTGCTGGGAATTGAACTCAGGACCTCTGGAAGAACAGCCAGTGTTCTTAACCTCTGAGCCATCTCTCCAGCCCTAAACTCTTATAGTGGGTTTTGTTGTGCCTCATGGCTTCTCTCGCATGGTAAACAGTGCCGCATAATAAATAACATTGGTGCCAAGATGAAGCAGGCTCTCTCAGTGCTCTGCTCCTGGGACCCTGTACTAAGGTTTGCTGTACCTACAACTGCCCACTTTTCCATTTGCCTGGCCATCAAACCGCTTCACACAACACTGGATGCTTCTATTGGTGAGTTTTCCCTTTCCAGCCAGTGTAAACAGTCCCCTGGACCCAGGGGAATGACTAGAGATTGTCCAGCATCCTTCTGATGTCCCTGGGATTTGGAGAACCCCCATCCATGGCCTTCATTGGCTACAGTTGATCCCTATCACAGGCTTAAATCTCAAGCCATTTCCCATGACTGCAGTCTGAGATATCAATCTCCCTGTCAGACCCCCATCTTCATGGTGCATACACCCTGGCCCTCATTCTCTGGCTTGATGGACCATTGAATGACTTGGGGCAATAGCCGATGATCACTTGATCTTGGGGACGCCTGAGACTGTAGTCTTGGATCATGGGTTTTTTTTTTTTTAAATTTTACTTTTAAGTTTTTCTTTCTGCTGCAGTCATGGGAAATAAGGCTTCCAACCCTATTAGTCCCACCTCTCCTCTGGGATGTTTTCTGGAAATTCATAGTGCTTAATGCCTTACTTAAAGACCTCTAAGCTTGTCTGCCTTTGTACTAAAAATTGATCTAAATATCCCTTAGATAACAATAAAAATGGTCACTTAATGGCTCCTTGGACCCCAATATTTTATGGGAGTTATTTTAACTTCTGCCAGTGAATGGGTAAATGGAAAGAGCTGCCTTATATCCAGGCTTTTTTTTTTTTTTAACCTCAGCCCCAAACCCTGCGTTCTTGATTCCTCTCTCCTGCCCAGGTGCTCCAACCCGTGCAACCTGAACCTGAGGAACCTCTGACTACCGCTCTGGACCCTGCCAATCAAACTCCACTTCTCTGACCTCCCGCTCCTGCTCTACCCCCTCCTCCTTTCTGATATCGGGCCGCTACAACCATCCGACTCTGGATCCAACCTCTACCCCTCCTATCACTCATTCTCAATCTGCCAAGGGACCCAACTGCAGCCATACCAACCCGGCAACCATTCTCCCTTTGCAAGAGGTGGCCTGGGTGGATGGACTGGTTAAAGTTCATGTCCCTTTCTCCCTTGCAGAACTTTCTCAGATACAAAAAAACAAAAAACAAAAAACAAAAAAACAAAACAAAACAAAACAAAACAAAAACCCTCAGCTCTTATACCTCTAATTCTGTTTCCTTTATTAAATAATTCCAATATATTACCCAATCATATATATATTTCATTATATAACCTACTTCCTGAGGAGCAGAGATGAGTTTGGGAGCAGGCTAGGATACATGCAGACAAGGTTCATCAAACTAATGCTGCCCACCCACCTGGGGCCGAGATGGTTCCCAATCAGGACCCACATTGGGATTATAATACTCCAGGTGGCTCTCTAGCTAGGGATCAGTTTACAACCTGCCTCCTGGCAGGTCTTCGTAAGGCTGCCCTCAAACCAATAAACCATGAAAAGCTAAAACATGTAATTCAAGATAAGGGAGAAAATCCATCTCATTTTTTAGAACAACTTACAAGGGCTCTCTTACAATATATTAGCCTAGATCCCGAGAGCCCAGAGGGCAGACAGCTCCCTATGACCCATTTTGTCTTGCAGAGCTTCCCGGACATCAGGGCTAAACCTTAGCATCTGGAGAGAGGGCCCCTGACCCCACCGGCAGAAGTCTTAGTGGTGGCATTTAAGGTACCATGGGAGAGATGAGAAAGCCCATAAACAGAACTGCCAAATGCTGGCACACGCTATCTGATCAGCTGCCCAAAGGCCTCCAGGTTTTAATTGTGGTAGAGAAAGCCAATGGGCTTGTGCCTGCCCTGCCCCACTTGGGTCACCATCTGGGCCTTGTCTAAAGTGCCACCAGGAGGGACACTGGTCAGGTGACTGCCCCTGTGCACCTCGTGGCATGGAGACATCAAACAAAGACCACCTTCCAGCTGATCTCCTGGGCTTGGCGATGGATGATTGAAGGTGCCCTGTTCCCAGCCCAGCCACAGCCATCTCTCCCAGGGAACTCAGGGTAGCCATTACAGTATCGGGGGCAATCCATTTCCTTTTGGACACCAGAGCCACTTACTCAGTCCTGAGGGAGTTTTGGGGTCGCACCTCTCCTTCACGTTTCCCTATTGTCAGGTAGGGGAACAGCCTTATCCACCTCACCAGACCCCAGCACTTAACTGCATTTTCAGGGGTGTCCCTCTCTCCCACACATTTTTAGTTGTGCCAACCTGCCCTGTGCCCCTAATGGGAAGAGACTTTCCAGCTAAGGTAGGAGCTTTATTTCATTTGTTGCCCCCATTTGCCTCACTCCAGACTCATCAGCAGCTCCTCTCCTCTTCCTCCTAGCCACCCAGCCTACTAGCTCGAACATGTCATTTTCCTTCCCAGCCTCTCAGGCGGACCCCAAAGTCTGGGACATCCAGAACCCTTTTATTGTTAGGCACTATCCCCCTATTATTATCCAGTTGCAGGACCCTACCAGGTACATTACCCAAGCTCAGTACCCTCTCTCACTCCAGAGTCTTAGAGGACTTAAGCCCATCATTTCTGACCTCCTCAGATAAAAGCTGCTCTGCCCAACCTCTCCACCTTTCAACATTCCCATACTTTCAGTTATGAAGTCTAATGGAACCTACCGCCTGGTTCAAGACCTCTGGATCATTAACTCTGCAGTGGTCCCTCTCCATCCAGCAGTGCCTAAGCCTTATAATCTTCTCTCGACTCTCCCTTCAGGGACCTTTCAATTTTCAGTCCTTGATCTCAAGGACGCATTTTTTTTTTCTATTCCTCTCAGCCCTCAGTCTCAAAATATCTTCGCTTTCATCTGGACTGACCCTGACACTCATCTGTCTATGCAGCTGACCTGGACTGTTCTGCCACAGGGATTCAAGGACAGCCCACACCTATTCGGTCAGGCCCTGGCCTCTGACTTGCTCTCTTTGTCCCTCCCTGGCTCTAAACTAACACACTATGTAGATGACATTCCACTCTGCAGCCCGTCATTACAACTGAGCCAAACTAACACCTCTGCTCTCCTAAATGTCTTATCCAGCTGGGGTTATAGGGTCTTGCCCTCTAAAGCCCAGCTGTCCACTCATCGGATCACCTATTTGGGTCTAACCATTACTCCAACCCACAAGGCTATCACTGTAGGTAGACAGCATCTAATCCAGTCTCCTGCAGTCCCTTTACTAAACAGGGGATCCTGCCCTTTCTGGGAATAGCTGGCGTCTTACAGTCTTGGGTTCCATCTTTTTCTCTCCTTGCTCGCCCCTTATATGAGACAGCTCTGGGCTCCCCACAAGAACCCCTCCTTCACCCCATTACTAAACCCTTCCAGAAGCTCTAAGAGGCTCTTCTCCAGGCTCCAGCACTTCACCTCCCAGACCTAACCCGTCCCTTCTCCCTCTTTGTAGCAGAGAAGGAGGGATTTGCCTGGGAACTCTAGGGCATCAGCTGGGACCCTCCTTTGCACCTGTAGCCTATCTGTCAAAGAAACTAGACCTCACCACTCAGGGCTGGGCACCTTGCATCTGTGCCTTAGCAGCTGCTGCATTCCTTATTCAGGAGTCAAAGAAGCTAACCTTTGGGTCACCCACAACTATCTTCTCTCACCATAACCTGTCCCATCTCTTAACTTAAAAAGGCTTACAAACTTTACCTCCTTCCTGAGTTCTCTCTTTCCAAGTGGCATTATTGGAAGATGCCACACTTACTTTCCAGACTTGCCCACCCCTTAATATTTCAAGCCTCCTTCCTTGACCTAATGCTGACTATTCTTCTCATTCCTGCACTGAAACCTTAGAGGATCTACTGCCCCACCCTTCACATATACAGGAGGGCACATTGCCTCAGGCCACTTATACCTGGTGCATAGATGGCAGCTCCTTTTTATATGGGGGGATCCATAAAGTGGGTTATGTCATAGTGTCAGATACTGAGATAATACAGGCACAGGCTTTATCCACACATGCCACTAACCAACAGGCTGACCTGATAGCTCTCACCCATGCCTTCCAATCAGCACAGGGGCAATCTCTAAATGTTTACACAGACTCCAAATATGCTTTTCATATCCTCCTGTCCCACGCTGCTATTTGGAGAGAGTGAGGCCTCCTTACAGCAAAGGGAGGATCCATATCTAATTCAGGCTAATTAATAATGGCCATGATAAAAAGCCTCCCATCTCCCCAAGGCTATAGGAATTATTCACTGCCAGTCTCATCAGACCGACAGCTCCATCACGTCTAAGGAAAATAACCAGGCTGAGCAGGCAGCTAAGACAGCGGCCCTCCAGGGCCCAGACCAACTCCACCCACCACAGGGAATCCATACAGTGCAACACATCCTCACAGGGAATCCCTGACGCTGGGCAAATTCTGTCCTATTTACATCAGCTCTTTCACAGTCTCGCTGTCTCAATTTATAAAAGCCCACCTGCATTCTACCTCTGAGGTGTTACAGTTCTTAAGAAATTTGTGAAAAGCCAGATCCCAACTCCAACTATAGGAGTCAAATTTTTCCCGCCCACCAGGCTAGAGGTTCCCTTCCAGGGACTGACTGGCAGCCCGATTTTACCCATATGGCCACTGTCAGGCAAATTAAGCATCTCCTTGTGATGGTGGACTCATTTTCAAACTGGGTGGAGGCATACCCGGTTTCTAATAGATGGACTCAGACAGTTGCAGATCTCCTTCTCCTGGAAATTATTCCCTGGTTTGGGATTCCTGCCTCTCTCCAGTCTGATTATGGTCCAGAGTTCACCTCACAGATTTCCCAGACACTAGCTAAGGCTTTTAACATTCCTTGGCTTTTTCATATCCCATACCATTCTCAATACTCAGGGAAGGTAGAGCATACCAACCGGTCTGTAAAATCTATTTTTACTAAGATGTCACAGGAATTTCACCTTGACTGGGTAAGATTATTGCCTCTAGCTCTTTTCAGGCTCCAGGCCCTTCCCAAGCGGGCTGTTTCAATCTCCCCATTTGAACTCATATATGGGAGACCAGCTCTAACACCGGGCCTCCTATCCAAACCTTCATCTCTCCCTGACGACCTCTTAACTCCCTTACCCTGTCATCTTCGTTCTCTCCTGGAGTGGAATTCACCGACCATTCCTTACCCCAGCCATGTGATAACCCATGTCCACCCCAAATCCACACTGGGGATCAGGTCCTTCTTTCCCCTCTAGGCCAGTGCTCTGCACCCCTTCCCCCTAAATGGCAGGGATGCTTCAAGGTAATCCTTGTAACCCCCACAGCTTCTAAGCTTGAATTCTCTCCCCACTGGATTCACCTGTCTCACCGGAAACCTTTTCTCTTACCCTCACCCCAGGGGAATTCCTCCTCATACACAGTGACACAGACAGGGCCCTGCTCTCTCAAGTTCCAGGGGACACCAGGATCCACTGACTTGTCATCAATTCCAGAAGAATGGGGTTTCACCTCACAAGTTTTTCCTTCCTGGTTCCCTCTCCTGTCTCTACTGACCATATTCTGCTTCATCTTTTCCCTCTGTGTCTCTAATAACATAGTCAAACTTCTAATTAACCACTCAGCTAATTGTTACAGGACCGCCATAGAGCCAGAGGCCAGGGACCATCAAGTACACGGAGGCAGTAAGGAACAGTAACAGTCCAGAGGTTTTTATACACCCAGACTCAAAAGGGTCTGGACTCTGCAAAAAACAGACTTTAATATAACATTCTATCACTGTTAAATGCCCTCAGCAATTGATTACCTGTGTCTCCTGGATGCTAAACTAATAAAGGAAACAGGTGCCTTGAGGTTTGTCTCAGATAAGGTTTATCTCAGATGAAAATTAAAAGCATGTTCCAGCTCTCTCTCTCTCTCTCTCTCTCTCTCTCTCTCTCTCTCTCTCTCTCTCTCTCACACACACACACACACACACACACACACACACACACATACTAACCAATAAAATTCTGATAGCAGAGTACTAAACATTATAATATCATGGCTACCAGCTCAAGATTTTAAATTCTCTGTGGCAGCGTCTTAATATGTTTAAAAATTCTTCCGAGCTCCAGAGCCAGATCAAATCCACCTGAACAGGTTAGATTCACTTTGGATAACTATAATTCAAACTCCCCTCCCTCACTCTGGGACCCCTTGGCGACCCCCCAATGTAAAATTTTTCTAAACTTCCTCTTCTGCCTTGCCAGCATCTTGTCAGACCTGAACAGTCACAGAGCCCCAAGCAATGGAAGGCAATGGACAATTCCCAAAGCAGCAGAGGACAATCCACTACCTCAGGACATCTGGCTATCCCAAAAGCCCCCTTTCCTACACCCCAAATTTAACCGACGCCCACTGAGTCAGCTGGAAGCAGTTTTGGGAGACACGGCAGCCCCGTTCCTGTTCCCCTGTCATTTTTTATAAAGACAAAGAGTCTAGAATATTAGAATTCCTAGCCACTCCCCAGCTACATGACCATGCATGCACTGTCCAGTAGCCAGATGCTTAGTCATTCCACGGCCTTACATCCTACATAATCCATGTGCTGCATGGTCACATAATTTGCATGCAGTGTGATCATGTAATCTATATGCATGTGTGGTGTAGCTACATAAGCCCATACACATGTCCGGGGGAACTTATAAAAGCAGATTCCACTTATTCCCCTCCTCTCTTCCTGCAGGGTCATTCCATAGGCCTATGCACATCCCTTCTGTTCCCTTCCCTTAATGAACTCTTATAGTGGGTTTTGTTGTGCCTCATGGCTTCTCTCACATGGTAAACAGCATCGCTTAATAAACAAATAGTTGTTGCAGCAATGGCCTGGATGCAGGATGGCTGTTATGCCCAAATTGAGGGGACCCTCAAAAGACCACCACAGAGACCAAATCCCATATGGAAAAACAAAGAGCCTTTTATTTCAAGCTTGGAGCTTGGACTCTCTGTGAGAGCAGAGATTCCCCCAAACCCAGGCAGGGTGGGGTTTTCAATCATAGCAGAGGTTGAGGTGAGAGGGATTTCTAGGGTTTAGAACCTTGATTGTCTGATATTTGTCTAGGAGGGTATAGGGAATGTTTGGAATGTCAGGTATTTCCCCTTAGATGCGGGCCCTTCCTGGGTGGGGTCAGCTCACAGCTTCTCCTGGACCTGGGTGTTGCCTGCCAGTAAGCCTGTCACAGAAGCTGTGTCTGGGCCTCTAAGCCTGTCATGGCAGTTGTGTGGCCAAGCTGTTTTGCACACACATTCCCCCTCCCCCCGCCCTCGCTATCCTACTGTGTCTGGGCGTTTAGATAGATAGGCTTCTCCAGGGTCCCAAAGCCTGAGTCAGGAAGCCTTTCAGCACCCCATTGTGCTCATCCACAAACAAGTGGGAAGGTTTACTTTTTAATGTCAGGTAGCCTGGTAGCTGGGGCTGATATCAAGGCTCCCTTGAATTTTTGAAATGCCTGTTTGTCCTCCCACCTCAAGGGTCTGTTTCCTCTCAGGCTCTCATTCAATGGCTCTGCTATTTCAGCAAAGATGGGTATCCATATTCTGCAGTATCTGACAGTACCCAGGAATTCTCTTACCTGCCTCTTGTCCTGTCACTCAGGGGTATTTAGAATAGCTTGAGTCTTGCTCACGGACAAAGTTCTGTTAACCACCCTCTAAACAATAGCCCAAATAAGTTACCTTATTAGAGCACAGTTGGGCCTTTTTAGCTGACACACCCAGCTGCTGGAGTGTTTTGAGCAGCCCCTTCATGACACATTGGTGTTCCTCTGGGGTGCACGTAGCAGTGAAGAGATCATTCACATACTGCAAGAGGGTGACATTTGGGCACCCTTGACAGTACTCAAGTAGATTCGAGCTAATAGCTTCATCAAACAAGGTTGGGGAATTTTTAAAACCCTGTGGCAACTGATTCTAAGCCAGCTGGCCAGCCACTGTGACTTGATTTAGGATCTGTCCATTTAAATGCAAATATAGGCTGACTCACAGGAGGCAGAGGCAGAAAGAAAAAAAAAAGCATCTTTCAGATCTAGGACAGTATAAGTCAGTGGTTCTCAACCTCCCAAAACCACAACCCTTTAATACAGACCTTACCTTGTGGGGACCCCCAACCATAAAATTATCTTTGTTGCTACCTTATAACTGCAATTTTGCTACTGTTATGAATTGTAATGTAAATATCAGCGTTTTCCAATGGTCTTAGGTGACCCCTGTGAAGAGTGAGAGCTACTGAAAACATTTTGCTCTGCACCCGATAGTCCAAACAGTGTAAAAGACTTGGTACTGTTGTGCATATAGACGCCACTCTTTTACTTACTTCCCTTAAGTTCTGGACAGGATGACGGTCTTTTGTGCCTGGCTTAATGACCAGGAGCAATGGGGTGGTCCATGGAGAGGAGAGTGGCAGGGCGCTAGAGTCCCTGCTTCTCTAAGGCTGCTGATGTGTTCCTGATGCCTGTTTTGGCCTCCCTTGAGATGGGTGATCAAGGCAAAGCCAGTTCGGGGAAGTTGGTCTCTGTCATATACTCCAAGGAATTTTAGCTTTAGTTTTGTCAGGAAGGAGTCCTGACCAAAAAAACAAAAACAAAAACAAAAACAAACAAACAAACAAAAAAGAAAACAAAATAAAAACTAGGAGTTCCTAGTTTGGGGTATCTATTTCTGTCATTTGGCATTTCTCTGACAAGGGGCATGGCCAAGATTGCTGAGCGTGGGTTCCCTAGGTTCAGAGTGGTTTTATTCTCATCAAATGTCATGGTGGCACCAAGTTTTCTTAACAAATCTCTGCCAATTAGAGGATGTGGACACTCTGGCAATTAGGCGAAAGAGCGTGTTCTGTACCTCCTTCAAGGTCTACTTCTCAACTGGTGGCCCTGGAATAGCTGCAAGGTCCTGTGGCCCCTTGAACGATGATTTTCTCCTTGGTGATGGGTCCCAGAGGTGGGGGAGTACTGAGTGAGCTGCACTGTGTCCACCAGGAACCCTCTTTTTCCTGGGACGATGGGCTCCTGGGGGCTCATTTGTATAGAGCACTGGCCCTGTCATCTGGCCCATTCAGATGGGCAATCAGTTTTCCTTTTTCTGACCTGTCAATTCTCGGACATTCGTTTTTCCAAAGTCCTCTTTCTCTGCCATAGGCACATTGGTCATTTTTAGCTTGGCTGTGGGCTGTTTTGGGCATCTGTGGAATTTCTGGCTGCCCTAGGGCCACTCTTTGAAAGCAATCTTCTGTCTTTTCTCATCTGAGTTTTCTGTTGTTAAAAGTCTTCTGAGCCATCTCTAACAGCTGTGATCTGTTCATCCTTCAAACCCCTCTAACTTTTGTAACTTTCTGTGAAATTCTGGGGCCACCTGGTTAATAAAGACAGTATTAATAGCCCGCTGGTCCTCTGGAGTATCTGGGTCAATGGGTGTGAACTCTTGGTGTGCCTCTCCGAGGCTCTCTGGGAACCCAGCAGGGATTCCTAACTTCCCCTGATTACCTCCATAACTTGTGAGAGGTTTGTCAGCTTTCTAACTGCTGCTCTTATTCTGGTCAAGAAGACCTGATGATAGGTGTCAAGTGCTACCCTACCTTATCAGTGTTGGGGTCCCAGTCTGGTAAGGCTGAGTTCACTTGGCTCTCATTTCTGCTTCCCATCCCAGAGCCCCTGGATCCACATACCTTCCCCCCCCATCAAGATCCAGTCTTCCTCTTCAGCAGTAAAGACTGTACCCAGGAGCTGCTTACAATCTGCCCAGGTGGGCTGATGGGTAGAAGAAAACAGTTTCTCACAGCAAGTTAATGAGGGCCTGGGGTCTCTCAGAAAAAAACGATTCTGGGATTTACAGTTATAGAGACTGCTGGTTGAAAAAGGAACACAGACTAGAAAAGGTCTACCTTTGATGTCCACTGGTCTCTGCCCCCTGTGAGGGCTGGGGGCAGCTAGGAGGTGCCTCTCTGAAGGGGAGGACAGTCTAGCTCAGCTGTGGTGGAGCACAGTCCTCTTTGAGTGTGGGGAGGTGAGAGCCAACCAGGCAGGGACAAAGGCAAATCAGGGTAGATTTTAGGGACAGCAGGCACAGGTTCCCCTTCAGACACTGTCGGGTCCTGTACCAGCTGGTGGTGGGGATTGTAAGGAGGGGGAACGTCTACCTCTTCTGTGGGAATTAGAACAGAGAGGCCTGGCATTTCGCTAAGATTTTTATTCGGTCTTTGGTCCACAGGCTTGGTGATTAAAACATAAAACAGAAGAGCCCTGCTTAAGTGCATACCACCTCAGCCATGGTGGGGAGTCCGGAAGGATCAGGAGCCAGCGGTGGATGTAAGGAAACTGATCTGGGAGACCAGGTCTTCCTGTGACCATTTGCCAGACTTTCCTGGCTATTTGAGGGTCAAACGACCCTCATCTGGCCATCCCACATCAAGGGCAGGCGGCTGTAGTTCACAGAGGTTGGGAAACTTCTGTAGTGACGACTCTGTGGTCCACCTGACAGAACTCCCAGGAGGACGGCATCGTGCAGTTCAGGGGTGATTTGGCTGTGCTTGGTCTGGCTCACATCCCTGCAATGAAACTCAAAAACAAAAACCCAACAGACGGTAGACACTAATACAAAAGGGCAGCACACTCGCACAGTCAGAGGAGACCCACTCATGTCAGAAATATAGATGCATGGTAGCCACCTTCACACACCAATAAGAAGGACAAAGGGTGTCCCATTGAGACAAAGGTCTATGGTTGCGTCCACTTTTCCTATGTCTCTCCAAATGTCTAGACTCCAAAACAAAATAGAATAACTTACCAATTGGTCCGAGTTTCAGATGTGAAGTTTTTACATTGTTTTGATTTCAGTTTACAAAGTTTTCTTTTTCTTTCTTTCTTTCTTTCTTTCTTTCTTTCTTTCTTTCTTTCTTTCTTTCTTTCTTTCTTTCTTTCTTTCTTTCCTTCCTTCCTTCCTTCCTTCCTTCCTTCCTTCCTTCCTTCCTTCTTTCTTTCTTTCTTTCTTTCTTTCTTTCTTTCTTTCTTTCTTTCTTTCTTTCTTTTTCGAGACAGGGTTTCTCTGTGTA